CCAAGAGTTGAAGCTAACTACAGGCCCTTTACACCGACTGAAGACTGGACCAATCACATCCAAAGTATTCCAGCCTCTTCTATAAAAGAAACGATTCTGGAACGCTTTGGAGGGGGTATCTATAGGCATCGAAAATTACCTATAGGTCTCAACGAACAGCTCAGTGTTAAGGAACGACGATGAACGTCACTATCCGGTTCACAGGAGTTCGATTGACGTCGGTGAACGCTTGAAGTGAATCGACGAACTACGTGAGCTGACAAAATTTCAGAATAACGAAGGTACGGGCTAATCGGGAGCCCCGTGATGTTTACAAAAGGAACAATGCCCTTCGTGTCTCATTCATTCTATAGAGAATCCAACTATCGAAGCTGATAGAACTCTTTGTCGGCTTTCCAACGCACTTCGAATCACTCAAATCCGAGTTCGGACGAAGGAATTATGGCGGAAACAGACAAATACATCAAATGGAGCGTGTCTCGGACCAACGAGACCCAAGTGTTCTGACAAGGGCCGAGACTCCTCTGGGTTGTCTGCGGCAGGCCAAGAACCCTAGGGTGTCTCGGGCCCAACCGAAACATCCCTTAGGGTGTCTCGGCGATGAAGGGAGAGCCACCCTAGCGGCTTGTCTCGCACAGGTGCGAGACACCCCGAGCTGTCTCGCACTTGGGACGTATTTGATTTGGGCCTTAAGCGGTTTTAACCGCTCCGTTATCCCCTCAAGCCTATAAATACAAGCCTTAGGCCTCATTTTTTGGAGATCTAGAATTTTGGAGATTAGGCGAAGCCCTGCCAGATTGAAGACTAAAGGTGCACAGATTTCAGAGAGGAGGAGGAGAGATCGGATCGAGTTCTTCAACGCAAGAGAGAGAGATTCTTCAGATCTGCAGTCCGATCCGTTCCTTAGGATTATCCCGTTGCGGTAATCTTAAGAAGAGTGATTATCTCGCTTCGCCGAGATAAGAGCTACAGTTCTCTCGATCCCTTCGCGGATAGACGAAGCTCTGCCTAATTTTTCAGCAATCAGATCTGATCGACGGTGGTCCACGGATAAATCCCGACACAGGCAAAGATCCCACGCAAGCAGAAGGCCGATAAACGATCTCTGCGTTTGTTTGATAAAGTTGTAAACTTTTTTATTTTCATTGTGTAAGGAGATCTTATAAAAAGATCAACTTTTTATTTTATTCGATTTTATTGTAACGACTAAAGTTGTAATAGATTCGATAACAATGGAAACATCAACTTTCACCGCAAACATAAAGACCTTCACGTAGATCGATGAATGTTACAAATCGACGACCTTCATGACAACTGATGAAAGCTCTGATCAATGGTCTTCACAACTAATTATGAGAGTTGTAATCTGACCACTCTCATATTTCAAAGAGCTAAAGTGAAGATTGCAAAACAACAATTGTCACAACACTCTGACAAAAGAGATTACAAGTCAACGATCTCTTCAATCCAAGACGCAGAACTCATCCCTGCACCCCAGAGGTGAAACACAAGTGATTGCGTTCTAGATTCAAAACAACGAAATTACTATATTCTCAGCTATCAACACAGCTCAAACATAACACAAACGTAGTGTTTTCAGCTGCTAAACACAGTACTAACGTAGCTTTTAGGTACTGCGTTCACCATCATGAACGCCACACAATCATAGACGCAGACGCAACATGATCGTAGCCATGGACGTAGCTTAAGCCCACGGACACAGCTCAAGCCCATAGACGCAGCTCAAGCTTGGACGGTCACGCATCATCTAAACCATGCGTTCAAACGTAGGTTCATGCCCAGAATGCAAATCAAGGTGTTTGACTCGTTCAAACATGAGTTGAACGATTTTGAAACCGTTTCCTACGATTTGAGGGCAGTTACACCCCACTTAGGAGTGATTTAAGGAGCGATAACACCCACTTAATCCCTTATAAATAAGAGGAAAATAAACCAAGTTTGGGATGGGATTTTTAGTATCAGAAATGGCCTGAAGGGATTGACATTATCCCTCAACAGAGATCATCTTCAACTTCAGCAACGAGGAGCTTGTTCTTGGCTATAACCGACTTTCGGTTCAAATCAACTCTTTTACAAGAGTTTAAACTCGCTCTGAGTTTTTAAACTCGTTAAGAGTTAATTTCAACCTTGCTTTGTAAGTTGTCCACAATGTCAAATCGTGAGGAGAAGATACCGTTCCAGTGAAGTGAGACGTTCGAATCATCAACGAGAATCAAACTCGATACGAAAGTCGAGGGAGTCATCTCATCGCTATCATGAAGAACCCAGAATTAAACAAAGGAGAGGATCTATATTGATCCTCTTCTCTTTTGTAATCAGAAATTCAAACTGTAATCAGTTAGAGATTCAGAGAGTTGTAAACATTCTTTTTCTAAGAAGTTAGAAGGAATAAATCAAATCAATTCTTTTATTTTCTTATTGCAATTTTTCCAACAAATAGTTCTCAAGATCACCAGTCATTGGTAACTTCTATGAACTTTCTCTATATTTTTAATATCCTTTTTGGCTAGCATAAAAATACTTTCCCAAAAATTATGCATGTTATAGATTAGCCCTTGTTAGTTATAGTATACCAGTAGTGGATAGGAGCCCACAGGTTCAAAAAGTAATATTTTTCATCATTTTACAATCAAAATATTACAATAATGAACAGAAATAGACTTTGTCACGACCCCAAATTCCGAACATAAAAGGAATATTGGAGCCGGACTAAACCTGTGCAAAATCCTCCAAAAATATGCATTCATTAAAAGACCATCAAAATAATGAGATGAGCTTATGTCAACTTAAGTGGATTGGAGGCATTGTCCACCAAACTTTTTATCCACTTATCTTGCCTTTAGATTTGTACCATCAAGAGATGCACAAATCTTAAAAGACTCTTCATATCTTTCAAGTATCCCAATGCAACATCAATGGATAAAAAAGTTAGTGGATGATTTTCTCCTATCTACTTAAGTTTACATAAGACTACTACTCAAAATAATCTCTTCATTGAACTAAAACCAACAATAAATATTCTCTATAATCGTAAAAGTCAACACTAATCCAATTAACATAATAAAAACAAATATTCCTTAACTTGAAATAAAACTCGACCTAAAGGAAAGAATCTCATTATTATAAAACTCTCAATTCATCAACTAAACAACAAGACTTTATTTAACCTTCACCTAGAAGACAAAACAATCTCGAATTATATTCCTTGCTCCGTTCTAAGAATCTGAAAAAAAAACCATAAACGCCACCTAATCCCAAGTCTCTGAAAAGAATGAAAACAACACAATGAGTTCACAACTCAATAAGTGGATAAATTCATACATTAAACACTAGTTTGTGTGACCAATTCTATTACAAGCGAAGCACTTGAAGTCACCAAGGGAACAGTTCTTCGTCAAATGAGCCTTATCACAACAACAGAAACATGTAGGAGGTTTTTGATGGTGGTGGGGGTTCGGGGTGTTGGAAGGGGGCTTGGGCCTCTTGGACAATTTCTTGTAGGTTACTTTGGTCCAGCCCACTTCTAGAAGCGGAAGGATACCCTTTTGGGAGGAGGGGATGAGGGGGCCGACTCGGGTTATAGCCTGAATACTCTTAAAAAGCTCTGCAAATAATGAGAAGAGAGGTGGTGAATGAAGGAGAGACAAAGGTTGTTTGAGAGAGGGAGTTTTGTTGGGAGGAGGGGAAAGGGGAGGAAATGCTGAAGGTGGAGGAACTGTGGGCGGAGGAGCTGGTATGGGCGGCACTATAGGCAGAGGGAATGGTGAGAGAGGGGTGATAGTTATTTTACCATTGCTGATGGAGATAATATGCCGCTTTGAGTTCCGTACTGCCGTCTATTCACCACACCCAGCTTTTCGCCTCCTCAATCGCCTTTTCGTATCCATCCTGTTTAAACTAACTGTTCCAATAGTCATATTAATGAAATTTTCATTACTATTACATGTTTACATAAGTGATTATAGGATTTCTCTATAATCAATTCAAAAACATTAACAACATAATGAAGAAAAAAAAGAACAAAAAAACCGAGTCATTCAACAAATTAAATACGGTTAGCCTTTGAATTATCAAGATGTATCTGATGATTGACCAACCGTTGGTTAATAGGCTTTGATCGTGGTGAATTACCTAATTCAGAGGTTGGATTTTCAATAAATTCCAGATTCAAGCTCTTAAATATAAGATTAATATGATAGTCTCTCTTTAAAGATTAAACACTAGCTAAAGAATCAATCTTAAGATATTAAGAATCAATCTTAAGATATATATAACAATCACCTCTAGAGCTTCTTGAAGCAAAATTCGGAACATGTGGGAGAAAGATAGTCATCAACCTAGTGCTATTCTCAATAGATACTTACAAATGTGGTTCCTGTGTAGTAAAATTTATAATTTTTTCCTTGAAAAGCCAAATAAGTGAGTGAGAATATCACCAATAAGAGTTTGTAATAGTCAGGAAAGTGATCTCTTGTATTTTATTCATTGAAATGATAAGATATACTATTCTTTGAGCAATAGAATTTATATATTTTCTCTTGAAAAGCCAAGAAGTGAAGGTTCCTAACCTTACATAACATATGGTTTTCCTGCAATTTACACCTATAACAAAATCAATTGACTATATATCATTCTAAGTAGACTACCATTAATCTATATCTATATACTACTTCTAAAAGAGAAAACAAATGTCAAAACTTTTGCATACCCATTTTACCCTTTACAAATTTCATATACTACTTCTAAAAGAGAAAACAAATGTCAAAACTTTTGCATACCCATTTTACCCTTTACAAATTTCATAAATCTAATTTTATCCTATATTTTATCCTTCTTTTCCCTATTATGCCCCTTTCCTGTAATCTTTGTTTATTAATTAGTATTAATATTATTAGATGTTATTTATACTAGGTTAATTAAAAAGCAAAACATAATTACTCAGCTACCTTTCCTATCCTATCCCATCCTATCCTCTTTCATAACGCCCAGCACTCTTTCTTCCATATGTTATCCGCTCTCTCCCCTGCTCCTCTCCCTCTCTCTTTCTCTAAAAATTAATTCGACGTTTAGCCTCCTCGCTTTAGGTGCCTCCGTTTCTCAATGACAACGCTCTTTCTATATTCCTCCTTAATCGCTCTCTCCTCGGCCCCTCTTTCCCATCTCTCTCTAAATTATTTCGACGATCGATCTCCTCACTTTAATTTCTTTCGTTTTCAACCGTTGACAATGTATACGTCCTTCCCTTAGAAGATTCTTCCGTTACTATAATTGGTAATAACTGCTAGGGCTTTCTGATCCCCATCCCCATCACCAATCCCCAAAGACTAAAATTTAGGTTATTTTGTGATTCTATAAATACATACTGCTTCAACTTTGATGGAGCAAAGAAGGTGTTTATTTCCAATTGTAAGTATGAGTATTGGTTATTCATATTACCTTACTCTAATTCTTATTCTTATTCTTCGGTTTGTGGGTTGCTTGCTTACCTTTTTCTTTGTATTGATGATTGATGATTGTTGATGTCAGGGGTCCGAGATTGATAGGAGGAGTAGAAAGCTATCAAGGTAATTTAAAATTTTATTTGATCTCTATTATGTTGCAGAGGTATCTTTGTGAGCCGCATTTCTTCCCATTTGTCTGTTTTCTTTCATTGGAATTGGAAAGTACATTACAATAACATACTCTTGTGGGTTTTGAGTGCATCATTGAATTCTATCCGTAATTTCCAATTTGTTGTGATCATCTTCATTTTGCTTTAATAAGAAACGGGCTGGTTTTAAACATAGTTGATATAATACAACTACAGTAATTATAAATGTTTTTAATTTTTTCAATCCAGAATGGGCCTTTTAGTGTCTATGCCTGTTCTGAAAAATTGCTTCTGCTCCTGCTTTCTATTTTTTAAGCACACTTGTATTTTTGACCAAACTTCCCTTTATTACAACACATTGCTCTCCTTTTTGTTTTCTAATTATAATTATAAATGTGTATATTTTTTTTGAAGAAATAAATGTGTATATTTGAGAGTTTTGTTTTCTTAAATGTTTATATAGTGGGCTGTAGGCGTATAAAATTGCTTATAGGTCCCTTAGCATAGCTCGGCACAAACCGACGAACCAACGAGGCGACGAGGTTGACGAATCGCACGCAAGCAATGGAATACATCCATTCGCGTGTGGAATCAAGCCAAGGGTTCGAAGAGTCAACGAGTCATCCAACCAAGGGCAGACTCGGACGAATCACGATCGAATCAAGATCAGTTTCGGACTCGAACTCAGAATTGGATTTACTGCCTATTCAGGATCCGGATTTACTGCCAAATCAGGTCGACGAGTTAAGTCCGGATAAATCAACCACACAACCGAATCATGGTGGAACCAAAACGGATACAACTACAAAACGACGAAAACCACGCCTAAAGGGGGGGCTCGGCCGAAACCGAGCCACCTCTAGGCGCGGGCACAGTGAAGGTGGCCTATAAATAGGAGAGGTGGTTCATTTGTTCAAAGGTTGGATTTTTTGGAGGCGAAGCCCTGCTGGATTCAAGACTCAGATCTAAAAAAGATTGAAGCTTTGGGACTTTGAGGACTTGCTCTTCCAGATCCGGTACTCGGCGATCGTCAACGCCAAATAAGGCAAGAGTTCGAGAGGACCGGATCTTAGATCTACGCAGACGTACTCCGGATCAAAGCTTGGCATTTGATCCCGAGATTTGGGCGATTGTTTCCTTGGTGAACCAATCCCCCCCGGCTATTATTTCCTTGGTGAAATAATACTCGTCGTACTACGTAGATCCGACCGGATCTAGATCTCGCGGTGGTCCACGGATAAACCCCGGCGCAGGCAAAGAACCCACAAAGCGAGCGACCGCAAAACAGGAGCTTGTGATTTGTTCGACAAACAAGGAGAAAGTTGTAATCTTTATTTTATTTTCTTTGATTTTCATTGTAACCGGATCTTATAAAAAGACCGGATCTTTGTAACTCAAAAAGTTGTTATTTAAGATGACAATGGAATCAATAATGAAAAAAGACACGATTTTTCCCGCGAACAATTATAGCAAAAATAAAAAATTGGAGGTCGTGCTTTGCACGGGGTGCACTCTAGTAATTTCAAACATATTAATTGGTCTTACTCTACTATCACGCACCGGCGGTGATCGGGTCACTCCTGACATTTCCTGTACATGCTAATCGGCAATATTCGGTTGCCTATTGTTTGCATCAGTGTGGGTACTTTTTCCTTCAAATCAATTCATTTTTAAATATTTTTCTCTAATTGTTAATTATTTTCCCTATTAGATTCAATCTAAGTTGGATCATTTTGTGTAGTCCTATGGAACATTGTCGCTTGCTATTGGTTAGAGGAATGAAGGATTCTTGCAATTTCTTAGAGCAATTTCTTATCAGTTTTTATGTAATTTTTGTTCAATGACTGATGTCCATTTATATGTATGGGAGAATTTTTATGTGCTCATGATTTTATGTATAGTTCCTTTATCTTTTTGATATTATATTGAAATGCATATGTATCCGAAATTGATTGTCAATGCAGTGTAATATCTCTTAAGGGGCCATTCCATTCATGGATATGTTCAATTTGTTGATATAAATGAATAAATGGAGGATTTATTTACAAATGTTCTTTGGAAACTTACTATTTATATGGTTGAATTTCATAGATGAATAAATGTATTTAATTAGTAGTATGTGAGTTTTGTTGCGCGCAGCGGAAATTTCGGCAGCACTTCGGCAGCACAACAAGAGAGTCAGATCGCAATAAGACCCGGGAGATCCCGCAGGACCATCCCAGAAAAGGAAGTCAGTCTTGGAGCGTCTCGGTCCACTTCCCGACGAGCGAAGCAAAGCTCCAATCCAAGGATGTTTGGGCCCACTAAGAAAACCCCGAACGAATCAACACGTTGGGGGTCGCCGCCACCTCTAACATGACAAGGAACTCAAGGCAGCTGCACACGCTAATTTGCGCATCGAAGTCCAAGAGCCCGCTGAGAATTCACGCCCAAAAAGGCATGTCTCGAGGCGCGTGACTCTTGAGAGCCCTAAGAAGGCAGTTCACCCTCTGAAGGAAACGTTGTCGTCTGATGACGATAACGTTATACCTGAGGAATCATGCCAACACGCGATAGGTTACTCCGACCTTCAAACCGACGAGTTGTACTATCGTGATGGGAGCACAAGGAAAACCAGGAAGAGGAGTCCCCGAAAACCGGAAACTCAATGCCCCTGTTCCAAACTCATTCGGGCAATATTGTCTGAGTACAATTGCATCAAGACGGTCCCCGAAAGAGTTTCAGTTTTCGAAAGGCTCAATACCGAAACGCCAAGACCGAGGTCTAGGCGCTTCCGACAAAGAAGAAGGGTAATTGAAGACGGAGAACTTCCTAGGGTCACTACCAATATGACCAGCAAAAGGGCATCGACAAGGGATAATCCCGAGTCAATTCCGCCGGTACCCCAGTATCTAACTCGTCTGAGGTCTAGAGCCATCATACGAGGAACTTATGGTAGGGTTCGGACAAGATTACCGTCGGAAGATGAAGAATCGGATTCCTGCTCTGCCGTCGCATCAGATAACACGGTATCCAGTGATGGACAACCCCGCGAGTCATTCACGATAAGGCGGAACAAGTGGCCAAGATGCTCGAAGAAGCCATGGCTAAACAGCAAAAGAGCTTCAGGTTCGAAATGCAGATGGCTATGCAGAATATGAGAGAAATGCATGAGCAACAAATTCAAGCACTGACGAACCAGCAAGGCGAACCAAGCCGTCGCAACCAAGTTCATCAAGAAGACGAGGATACGAATGAAGCTCGTAATGCCAATAATCCTCCCGTCAGTGTAGGGGGTGGTAACGAGAATGCTAGTCACAACACCACGCTTCCACCTCAGAATCGTGCGGACGAAAACTCGGGTGAAAGTCTGAAAATCAAAAATCTCGAGAGCAAAATCAATACGTTGATTTCCGCTCAAGAGATAAAGAAGACTGGCATTCATTGTCCCTACCCCAGAGAGTGGGAATCAATCCCCTATCCGGCGAAGTTCAGTCTGATTAACTTCACGCCGTTTGATGGGAAGGGTTCACCCACTCAGCATGTGATTTAATTCAAATCACACCTGGGGGTAATTTCCGGCAATGAGCCTCTGATGGTGCGGTCATTCGTCGGCACTCTTCGCGGAGCCGCCTTCGATTGGTATCGCCGCCTCAAGCCAGGTAGCGTGAACATGAGCCTCTGATGGTGCGGTCATTCGTCGGCACTCTTCGCGGAGCCGCCTTCGATTGGTACCGCCGCCTCAAGCCAGGAAGCGTGAACAGCTGGGATGACATGGAGACCAAGTTCCTGGCCAACTTCTTCGACGACGACACCGAGATATCTATCGGATCATTGCTCGATGAGAAGCAGAAGGACGGGGAGTTAGTCGACACCTTCGTCAAAAGGTTCCGGAACAAGGCGATGAATTGCCGGGACCCGATCACAGAGGAATTCATCCTCCAAACTTGCCACAACAACCTTGCGTTGGACGTGTTGGAAGCAATGGGCACAGCACCGTCCAAAACGTGGCAGGATCTGAAAGTCCGAGGAGAGCAAGCTGAACGTTTCCTCCGAAGGAAGAAGGCCGAGAGGAACCGACCGACAGTTAATCCGCTGAACTCAAACTTCGCCTCTCGTGGTAAAGGCAAGGTACCTGCAGCTGCTGATGGTGCTAATCAAACGTCACAACAGCAATCCCGAAGGCAGCAAAAGACTTCGGGTCCGAGACTCCAAAAAGAGTACTCTTTCAAGGACGAAGACGTTCCAGCCATCTTCGAATCCCTCCTTGAAGGTAACAAGATCAAGCTACCACCTATCACAAATCAGGAGGAAGCTGACAACACGACGGATCCAAAGTACTGTGCTTACCACAGGAGGGTCCTTCATCCCACCAAGGATTGCTTCACTCTCAAGAATAGCATTCAGACCTTGATTGAAGCTGGCGTCATAACGCTAAGGTAAGCCAGTTGAGAACGGCACCACTCCGACAAGTATACGAGTATAAACTGCTTCTTAATACTCCAATAGGTATATGAGTCTAAATTGTTTCCCATTTTTAACGGGAAGTTCCTGGAGAATATTACGCTAGTATTCTTAAGGATAACCCAGTCAGGTAACTGAGAATAATGTCCGAACCAGTTCCGCAAAGGAAACTGGGGGTGGACGATTTATGTAACGGGAAGTTCCCAAAACCACAGCAATGTAATAAATGAGAACTCCCATTCAAATTCCCACCGTGTCTGTGTACTCAACACTCTCTTTGTTAGAGTCTTAATAATGTCTGAACCAGTTCCGCAGAGGAAACTGGGGGTGGACGATTTATGTAACGGGAAGTTCCCAAAACCACAACAATGTAATGAATAAGAACTCTCATTCAAATTCTCACCGTGTCTGTGCACTCAACACTCTCTCTGTTAGAGTCTGGACATAAAATTCCCAATTGGTCAAACCTTCCTACAGTTAGGACCACAACCAAAATCCTCTCTCGATTCCTCCAATGAACGAGAGGTCCAC